TTGTTGAATGTTCATATAACTTTAACTATTTAATTATAGAATGAATGTTTATATATCTTTATCTATTTAAAAAAAAAATTCAAATATTACTTTTTAAATGTACATACATCGACTGACAAATAGGGATTCACACAACTAAATGCACATACGTCGACTGACAAATAGGGATTGGCGCGATTAAACGGGACAGCCTTAAAAAGGATCCACCAAAAATAGGTTTCGCAATTTGAAAAAATTGCAGACCTAGAAAAATTTACGCAAATTTAGCGCATGTGCAGTTTCCGTTACGCGTTTTTGGATTTCACTTATTCGTAATTCTAAAAAGAATGTCGATGATCCTAAGAATGTTAATGATTCTAAAGCAAAATTTTAAACGTAAGTATTGAGTAAGATGGTTATTTTCATTTTGATGTTAAATCTTATATATGTATGTATATGTGTATATGTATATTAATATATATTTACACGCACACACACAAAACACAGTTAGCTCTTTTTAAAAAATTGATCAAGGTTATTCGTAAAAATTCTAATTAAGATAAATTCTACACGTTGACTTTAGTATAATAATAAAATATGTGTAGAAGTTTGTGTTGCAATGAAAACTTTTATGTTTTGATTATCTTCACTCTTGTATTTGTAAACTTAAGTCCCCCTTATATTTATTTTATTCTATAATATAATATCATGTTTCTTTCTACTTAACTTTTGTTTTATTTTAGCCTTTATTAAAATTGAATTCATTTTTAATTCATAAAGTTAACCTTAAAAATAGCCTCTGAGGACTATGAGTCATAGTCCTCAATTTATTTAGACACAACTTGAATTTCTGTGAACAGAGGAATGACCCATATTACCATGTACTGACTATTTTTAGTTTAAATGATCAAGTGGAAGTTTACTTATTTCCATTAAAAAAGCATGAGAAAAAAAATTCTCAACAGCACAATGATAAATACTTTATTTATCATTGTGCTCTTGAGAATATACAAAGTGTGTTGAAGTATGAGTTACCATTTCAAAGATAGTCGTTAACAGAACAGAACCATTGAATTAAAAAAGTAAAAAATAAAAGAATAAAAAAAGTAAAAATAGATTTTTTTCAAATTGGTTCTCTTTAGTAATTGAATAAAGTTTCATTGTTAAGTTTAAAAATCAGAAAAGTTAAGTTAGTGGGAAATACCTTAGTAGTGAATAAAGACTCCATTTAGCTGCCTTTATGGTTGGGTGTCTGTTTAGTTCAGCCGCTAAAATTTTAAAAAAGCGTTCAAAATCTAGATTTATTGTTATTACATTCAAACTATGTGGTGTCAAAGCAAAGTTCAAATACAAGAAATGGATTGTTCTAGGATTGTTCACTTATTTTCCAATAACTATTTGAAAAGGTTAGAAGATATTTTTACAAAGATTGCCAAGCTGTCAAACATCATGCCAAACATCATTTTAGAAAATTGGTGTTTGTATTACCAGTTACACTCATGTTACTGGTATTTTTGTACGCATTTATTTCTTTATTTAATAAAAAGTTATAAGTTATTCAAAAAATTAATTATCTTTTGGATGATCAGTCAAAACTGAACTAATAAATTCTTAAAGTAAATAACTAGAAACTATTTTTTTTATCTGTGAAGCTTTCATCAAGCTATCATCATATGATTTGCAATGGTTTCATCTCTTGGGAAATAACGTTTGTTTGTCTTCTGTAGAATAATATTAGAATTAAACTCTACCTGAATAAAGGCATCCAAATGACGTCTCATTTCAGTAACAGAATTGACACCCTTTTTGACTAACTTGCCAATTTTGATAATGAGTTCATAACACAAAGGTTGATTGAGACCTGCTGCCTCATAGTAAAAGAAAAAGTAGAAACATTTGCAAAAAACATTAGCAATAGCAAGTTATCTTAAAGTAATTGTTTTGGTGTTACTTAGATCACCAGTTTGATGGTTTTTATGAACTGAAATAGCAGGCATTAGCAAAATATATTTTCTGCACATTAAAATAGTTTTTTTTAATGCCAAAGCAGAACGTAGTTTTTTGGAAGTATTTTTCCGTAGCCAGGAGGAATCTCTATCAAGCTAAAAAATATATATAAATTATGCATGAAATACCAACCAAAATTATACCATACCAAAAATTGTTATATGTATATCAAAAGTTTACTATTTATGGTTATTAAGAATATCAAACCTTAAAATCAGGAAAATTCAATAATATATCTTTAATAAAAACTTTAACTGGACAATCAAATTTCTTGGTTATTTGCAAAACCATTCTTTTTTTAGCAAGAATGATCTGAAGTCTGTGAAAGAACAAAAAAAACTATGAATAAATATTTTTTCTATTAACATCCCTAATTCAAAGGTCATAAAAAAGAAATCAAATTTAATTTTAGTTTAGAGGGGAACAAAAACTAAAAAAATTAAACTAATGATTTTTCAACCTAAGACCGGGAGAATAGGCACTACGTACTGCTTCAGTGTAAATTTTTGCTTTTGTACTGAGCTTTAGCTTTACTATTTTTATCACTCCCAGGTTGACAGTTGAGAGAACCATTTGACGAAACAATGAATGGCACTCCTGAGTAAGAAACATCAAGATCCTCAAAAAATACTTTGTGGTCACTCTTCAATATTTCTGAAAAAACAGACTTTGAATTACATAGCTACTACTAATTATTATAGACTATATATATATAGTTTTATTTCTTATTGGATTACAAAGAACTACAATATTGTTTGTGCTAGCTATATATTTATTTATATGTTAAATGTAGTAATCATTAATAAAAAACAACTAAGAGAGAGATAACAACATATATACATGTAAGCCATCTTTATATTTCAGAATTGTATATAAAAACATTGTTTCTATTTGTCTGCAAATAATAAAGTTTTACGGCTTTACATTAATCATATAACAAAGATCTTTATTCGAAGATTTATGCAAAGCAATTTCCTAGCTTACAAAATGAGCAAAATATTGATTATTAAGAAAACTAGTTAATTCCAAGGTTTGTGTTACAACTTTATTTTATTTTATTTACCTGTGTAAAATGAAACAGAAACCTTTAAAGCTTTTTTCCATGCCTCTTGTTTTTTGTACAACATAATGAACAGTGTGCAACATTTCATGTTCTTTTATTTAGCACATGCATCTGTGAATGTTGATAAAATGTGCTTTTCCTCAGCCAAAGTTAAATTTGAAGCTGATGCTGACATACTGAAGTTTGCATCTAAATAATGAAAAAACCTTTTAAAGAACATAACTTTTTCATAAAAAGAAAACAAAAAAAGTGTACAATGACATTAATAACATCAGTGCAACTGTTAATATAAATATTGATTGTCTAAAAGGATGATGTTTTGCATCTTTTTTTGCAACATTTTTGCAATCTTTTTAGGAATTTGCAACATTTTTGCAATCTTTTTAGGAATTTATTCTAAACTTCTCGAAGAGTTATTGGAGAAAGACGCTACAATTCTAACCCAGTCTAATTCTTGAACTAAAGTTTAGCTATGACAACACAGAGATAAGATTGATGGAAAAAGAAGTACATTTATTTTTAGAAAACTCTTTTAGCATTATTGTAGCTATGCCAAAAAGACACCGACACATTAGCAGCCAAATAGAACCTTTTTCACTATTTCTCATTTAAGTTTAAGTACAGTTTTCTTAATTTTCAATTAAATGAAACTTTAATCAGGTTATTATTGCAAATTCATTCACATTTACTCTGACAATAGTGTGAGTCATTTCCTTGTTTAGAGTAGTTCCAGTTGGGTATAAACAAATTGAGGACTGAAAGATTTTTAAGGTATTTAACAAGGCTTTAAAGCACTTTAACTTTTATGGAGGCCAAAAAAAAGCAAATGTCAAGTATAAAGGAACATAATAACACATTTTGAAATTAAACCAATATTAGTACCATTTAAATAAATTGGAAAGACAAAAAACTACAAATACAATACCGTAGGTAATCAAAACACAAAAATTTTTAATCCTGCATATCATTTATCAAATATCATATACTTTTAAAAATGATATATATGTAAGATTTATATATAAATATATATGTATGTATGTATGTGCATACATACATTATATATGTGTGTATGTACATGCATACATACATACATTTATAAGATTTAACATTAAAATGAAAAAAAGCATCTTACTCAATACTTGATCAAAATTTGGCTTAGGATCGTCAACATTCATTTTAGAATTACGAATTAAGCTTAGTGAATCTATAAACGTGTAACGCAAATTTAGCGCATGTGCTTAATTTACGTAAATTTTTTTAGGTCTGCAATTTTTCCAAATTGCAAAGCCTACTTTTGGTGGATCCCTTTTAAGGCTGTCCCAAAAAACGTACATGATTTGAGACAGGGTTTGGGCAAGGGATAAATCAGAAAAAGATGCGCTGAGCATTTTTTAACAGTTTTGCATTAAATTGTTGAAACCAGGCTTTTTTAAATCATTTTTGTAAAGAATTTAATACAACCGAGAATAAAAAAAAAAAGGCGAATACTAACGTTAATTAGTGCAATTTTTTAAACTTCAAGATCGCATCAGAGCACTTTCTGTTGATTTTCAGAGCTATGTTTTTATACGATTCTTAATCAGCATAAAATTCTCAATCATAACATAGTCAATAGAAATAAACCCTGGTCTGGAAAAGCTATTGTCGTATGTTATTGTTCGCTTTTTTTTAAGTCACGTGATCAAATCTCGTGCAAAAAAAACAAAACTTTTAAAATGAAAGTTACGAATTAATAAAGATTTTGATGTTAAATTTAAATTAATATATTAAAATTATTATTTTTCTTTATTATTAAAATAATATTGGTTCCTTTCTATTGTCTATGGTTTAAAAACTTTATTCAATTTAAAATGTTTCTTTATATTCTATATTTAAAAAAAGTCTAAAAGATAAATCCAAAATGCCAGGTTCAAATTGTTGTTTCAAGGTTCAAATTGTACAGTTTCAAGATCTATTAAGCATAAAGATATCACCTTATTCAGAATTCCTATGAGGACAGGAGACTTTTATAAAAAATGGAGACAGAGATTGTTAGCTATTATCACTAAGTATAGAGACTTTGACAAAGATTTGAAAGAAAGACTCTCAAAGGGCAATATTTATATATGTGAGAATCATTTTTTAGCAGAAGATATTGAATTGACAAGTAAGGATACTTTTATATATTTAGTTGTTTAAATTTGCTTTTACACTCTGTGTTATTTAATTTTAAAAGCTTTAATTTTGGGCAACTCTGATAAGTTTAAGTACAATAAACAAATAAATTTCATAAAGCTTAAAGTATTTGTGGCTTTATATAAATTTGTGGATAACATATTCTCTTTTTTTCTCAGTATTGTTCTTATTTTTGTGTGATAATTTATATTTACTTTATTGAAATATGTTGAATTTCAGAAACTGGAAGGAAATCATTACGCTTAGAGGCTTTACCAACTGTTAACCTATCCATAAAATCACATGAAAAAGAAAAAAAGGTACCTAGAAGACACATAAGTATTGTAAAAGATATTGTCCCACAGAAGCGAATAAATTATTCAAACTTAATTGATTTACAGAAAAAAACCCAAAAGTTAAAACTTAGTGGATGGGAGATGACATGTAATGAAAACAATATCAAATTTAAAAAGTTATTGCCTTTGCATTTGTTACCTAAGTATGAAGTTGTAGTAGATGACAGTTTAGCGTTCACCATTATTGTATTTGGGTGGCTCTTGCCAGATACTCACTTAATCTATAAATTATACTCACGATCAATGCTGAACACTACAGTTACCGAACTTTTTCTGCAAAATATGTACATTAAGATTTTGTTCTGGTATTATAGAAAACATCAGAAATATAAATAATGATGATTTTGTTGATCATAATGTTCCAATGGAATTTGATTTAGAAAGTGCAAGTACAGATGGTATGCGTGTATCAAATGAAAGGTTTAAAAGAGCAAAATCATGTATTATATTACATACTAGTGAGTCTGATAATATAAATTCTGTTTGTTCATTTTGTACCCACACACTAAAAAAGAACAAAATGATTAAAATAAAAAAACAACATCAGTTAGCCACACCTGCTCTTCGAAAAGCTCCACTTAGTAAAACAAATCCTGTTCGCGTTCTATTAGCATTAAAACAAGAACGTCTAAGATGTGCCAAGCTAACAAGTGATTTAGAAAAAATAAATTTTCAAATAGACTCTAAAGGTATTACTATTGATGATGGGTTTGTTGATGATTTAAATCAAACAATGAGTAGTAACTACGAAAAAGCTACTCCCTTTATGAAATTATTTTGGGACCAGCAAAAGAAAATGTGTAATAAAAATTTTGGCTCAATAAAGTATCACCCTATGATAATACGGTTTTGCCTCTCACTTGCCTCAAAGTCGGCCTCAGCTTATGATGAGTTGCGCTCATCAAATGTACTAACATTACCAAGTCGCAGAACTCTAAGAGATTTTAAGAATTTCATTCGACCGAAAGCTGGATTAAATCCTCCCGTAATTGAAGAATTGAATAAAATTAGTATTAACCTAGTTGGCTACCAACGATATGTAACGTTATCTTTTGATGAAGTAAAAATACAAGAAAAACTTGTTTTTAATAAACACACAGGTGACATTATAGGTTTTGTAGATTTAGGTGAACCTGATTTATATTCTACTTTTCAAAAGGAAGATTCTTTAGCAAGCCATGTTCTAGTCTACTGCATTCGAGGTATTGCTTCTGACTTAAAGTTTGCTTTATGTCACTTTGCTACTAAAGGTCTCACCTCGTTTCAACTAATGCCAACTTTCTGGGAAGCAGTTGGAGTTTTAGAACTGACATGTAAATTATATGTTATAGCTGCAGTATCGGATGGTGCAGCACCAAACAGAAAGTTCTATGGAATGCATAGTATGTTTGATGACAAATTAGATTGTAATGTTGTTCATCGATGCATTAATATTTATGCCCCTGAACGGTACTTATGTTTTTTTGCTGATGCTCCCCATCTCATCAAAACAGCAAGGAACTGTTTATATCACTCAGGTATGTAAATTATATTTAAAGTGTATTGGTTTACAGGCCTTTCCAGTAGAAAATTATCAGGTTATGGTTATTTCTTGCTGGAAAGTAATAATAAAATAACAGATTTTTATATTAAAAAGTATGAAATGCTTACTTATTTAGCTAAGATTAGAAGGGCTATGCAATGTTTTAAACCTCCCTAGATTGAGAGTTGAATTGTAGGCAATAATTTTGTGTTATATTAAGATTCAATCTTTTTTTATTTCAGGGGATGGAAGGGGTACACGAAGTCTTTGGAATGATGGACAACAATTAATTTGGTACCATATCACAAGAATAGTCAATGACGAAATGAAAAATGGGTTAAAAATTATACCAAAGTTAACAGAGGATCATATTAAACTTAGTGCTTATTCTGTTATGAATGTAAGACTTGCAGCCCAGGTTTTAAGTAGTAGTGTCAGTAACATTTTAAAAAATTATTACCCTGATGATACAAATGGAACTGCAAAATTTTGTGAAATGTTAGATAGTTTTTTTGATTGCTTAAATGTGCGAAATAGCAGTGAAGGGATAATGAAACGCAAACCATTTTTATTACCATACACGGATGTTAATGACGAGCGTTTGACATGGCTACAGAATACATTTTTATGCTATCTAGAAAAATGGAAAGAGTGTATTATTAATCGTGCTGGTAACTTTTCCAACAATGCAAAAGGAAGAATGTTTATCTCTTGGCAAACATACGAAGGACTTCAAATAACTGTAATGTCTGTTATCGAATTGGTAAAATTTTATTTAAAAAGTGGTATGCCGTTTGTTTTGACTGAAAAATTCAATCAAGACGTTTTGGAGGAATACTTTGGTAGACAACGGAGTTTAGGTCGAAGAAATGACAACCCTACACTATATCAATTTGGTTACCAGTCAAATACCTTGCGATTGCAAAGATCAATTGCGCCGGTAACTGGAAATACTAAAGGTGGTCATGGTCAAAAACGTGAAGTATCTTGGAGTGTTGTTGATAATGAAAAGTTACCAAAACGAAAAAAAAACCTATAAATATAATCTAAATATAAACATAGCATATAACAAAATATATCAATTATTTGTTTTAAGTTTAAAGTTTAAGTCTTTATTTATTGTTTGATTTACGTTTTATACTTTTTCTTAAAGATTTTACTTTAAAACTTTGATCATTGTTTTTTGCAGTTATATTTTTAGCCAATGAAAATGTACGAACTCTAAAATAAAGTTCTATCATTTTTTCTAACAAGTTAAGCTTAATTTCCTTATCAATAGACACGAATTTCACATCATCCACGATTGCATTGTAAAAACTTATAAATTAGGATCCTTTAATAGGTGTTTTGTTAAATTCTTACTTTCAATATTTCGGAGGTTAGCAACTGCAGTTTCTTGTCTAAAATGTTTCTCAGCTTGCAAGAAAATCTGATAGCATTCTTCACATACTGCTGTTAAACCCCCTCTGTTTTGGGTATTTATTAACTTTTCTGAACTTGAAACTTCTTTAGTTGTTTGAAGTAATAATGCAATTAGAGCTTGATTGTACTGGCTTTTGTAATTTTTTGTTGTTTTTGCCTTTTTAAGTAGATTTCTTATAACATACCCAGACAAATATTTTAATCTATCCACTTCACGTGGTGAAATTTCTTCAACTTCAACATTCTTTGAAGGAGAGCTTTGAAAATGCTGAAATAATTTATTGCATAACTTTGTTGTAAATACTGTTGATGCAGGTTTCTTTAGATTAAAATATGTGTCTGAAAAGAGAACAATATTGCTATAAAAGTTGGAATAATACTTTTCAGCATTTCCAGATGATTTTAATTTTTTTGACATTTTTCTTATTTCATCAAAAAAGTTTTCTGTTATTTTTATTTCAAAGTCTTTTATTTCTGAAATAACTTCTTGAGGATAACATTTATTTGTTGACAAATCAGCTTTAGTTTCTGCAACAATTTTTTTTATATCTGTGACAAAATCATTATAATGCATATCTGTAAGACTCTTTATGGTATGTTTGTTTTTATTGTGTCGTGCTAAGCCTCCTTTTGTTTTATACGTTTTGGATTTGCAAATTTTGCACTTGAAGTCTCCAGCGTTAACCTTTCAGTCTCTTTGCGTTAACCAAAATAAACCATTCTAATTAAAATTTACATATTATTATTACCTCTAATAATGCATTATCAAAATATTCTTGCAAATCTGGATTTAATTCATCATCAGCATTAATATTTATTATATAATCAAGCGTTTCGCCTGTAAAAAGTTCTTCAGAAAACGCCATTTAAAAATTTGTTTTGCACTAGATTTGATCACGTGACTACTTTTTACGCACTTTTCAAGATACGGTTTTAAAATAAGATTGAAACAATAGCTTTTCCAGACCAGGATTTCTATTGACTATGATCATAACCAGCAATAAAAAAGAGGAGAGGAAGGGGAGAAACTGCAGTAGCGCCAAAAAAGGTAAAGTTGAGTGGGTGAAGGTAATATAGGGTAAATTGGAAAATGAGTTAGTGAAAAGAAATACAGAAATGCAGACATACCGTCCAGTTGTGAAACACATAGGAGAGAAAACTCACTTAATGCTAGGGTCTATAATGAGGCAGTGGAGTTCCGTTCACTTCGTGGCACAGGGGCTTTGTCGAGAAAAAACATGAAAAAAAACTTTTATGATTTTTGTCGGGTTTTATTACACTTTTTTTAAAAAGAACTAACATGGACTTACCGTCTATTGTCCGATTTTAAATATTGATAATCGAAATATTAAAACTCAAATAAATAGTGCGCATAATTACGCGTATTGTTTTATAGCTACGGTACGGTTCTGTATCTGTAAAATACACTTTTTAAGTAGATTCTAGACTTTTCTTTACCGCGTGCTTTCTTAATGATTTCCTTTCAACCTTTCATGGTATGAGTTCAAAATGTCCAAGTTGACATTAAGTAGATAATGTTTAGTTGCTTTAAATTAAATGTAATTTAAAATTTTTTTTAAATTTAAAAGTAATTAATTTATTGTAATCTTTTTTAAGTTGTAATTTTAAATTTAAAGCTTCGTGTTATAGATTACTTTAATTTTAGATTGTGTCTAGCGTTAAAATATATTTATGGGGAGTTTCATGCTTTCACATAGTTTCGGCTATTGGGATAAAAGCCATGACAACATTTTTTTATAAATTTATCTTATTTAATTGTTATTGAAAATTTTGAAATAAATAAAATTCATCTTTAATATTGTTAATACTTTTGCTCTTTGAAAAAAAATATGTTTCGGGCTCTTCAATAAATATAAAATAATTTGTCTTGCATGAATGAATTTTGGTTAAAGATTTAATTGTGTTATATAAGTTTGTCTATCTGTAATTTATTTTGGTTATTAGAAAATTCATGTTTACAGAGCTGCTATTAATCATAATCGAGTTGTTAAACCAAGGAAATTGTGGAGGTTTTTTATCATATGTACTATATATATATATTATATAATTATATTGGAGGGAGTAAGTTAAAAAGCATTTTAAAAAAAAGAAATAAAAAAAGAAATAAAAAAAGAAATAAAAATACTTTTCAATATATATCTGTTTTCTTTGAGGTAGAATTAAAGTTTCAGTTTTTTAAAATTTAAAGTTTCAAGTTTTCAAAATCGTAATCTTTTCAAAATTTCTAAGTAGACATTGAGGATTTATAAAATCTTTTTAAAATTTTTTAGTGATTAGTTTTTTGTCATCTTTTATAAACTGTACTTTTAAATTTAAAGCTTCGTGTTATACATGTGAATTTTGAAAATATAGATTACTATAATTCTTAGATAGTGTCTACCATTAAAAGATATTTATGGGTAGTTTCATACTTTCAAATGCTTTTAATAATTGAGATAAAAGCCATGACAACATTTTGTTATAAATAAAATTTATCTATAGTATTGTTAATACTTTGGCTCTTTGAAAAAAATGTTTTTTTTCTTTTCAAAAAGTTTAATAATTTGCCTTGCATGATTGAATTTTGGTTTAGGATATAATTGTGTTATTATATGTTTGTTTTTCTATTTATATCTAATTTATAAAGATTTAATTCAAAATTAAGATATAAAATAAAATATCTAATTTATAAAGATTTAGATCATTAGAAAATTTATATTTACAGAGTTGTTATTAATCATAATCAAGTTGTTGAACCAAAAAATTTGTAGAGGTTTATTTATCAAATATACTACATATGTTATATAAAAAATTTTGGTTTTCGTATGTTTTCGCTAATAAATAGTATATCCTTGGAGTTGCGGCAGCGTAATAGTGTGTTGAGGGAAAAAAATTTATAAACCTGCGTTAATAACCCGTTTTCTATTGTACATAACGCGTTAATAAGTTTTATTACATGTTTTGTTTAATGTTTTCTCCCAACGCATGCTTAATGACGCTGTCTGCGAAGATATGTTGTTTGTTTTAAATTCTTTTTTCTTCATAAGAAACAGAATAAATTTTAACTTTTTGTTTTAAGTTTTTGCTAATATGGTTGCAGGTTTTTCTTAACTTTTATCAAATAAACTAAATAAACCTGTATTACTTTTGATGATGGCAAATTAATTTTGTTTTGCATTAGTTTGATTTATTATATATTTCTTATAAGAATTTTTTTTTTGAGTAAATTTTTTTTAGTTATTTCTTCAGTTTTTTTCATTTTATTGTTAAATTTAGAGTAGTAAAAAAAAGAAATAATTAGTGTTGCTTTGATAAATATGTTTAATCAAAATGATGACATTGAAATGAATGATAGGCTAGATGAAGTTATGTATTTACCGAATGATGTAAGTGCTATAAGGCGTGTTGAAAATAGTCGTAGACGAAATGAAAGAAATAGACTTAGGCGAGATTAAATTAATCATTCACAAAATGAAAGAAATAGGCTTAATCGAGAAAACGTTAATCGTCGCCAAAACGAAAGAAGAGCTGTTGGACAAGGACGAATGTATTCTATAGCAAGAAGTAATGCTATTCCAGATAATAATTATTTAGGGAAAATGAATCAAATTTGTCAGCACTGTGGTGCTAAGAAATTTCCAGATGAAACACATTTTCTATGTTGCTATAATGGTAAGGTAGCTTTGCCTCCACTTTCACCAATTACACAAGCTTTACAGGATTTGTTTACAGGGAGTTATGTAGATCGTAATGCTAATGCTAATTTTTTAAAACATATTCGAAATTATAATGCCTGCGTTTCTTTTGCTTCTTTTACAGCAAATGTAGTTCAACCAATGAATCATGGGCTTCCATGTTTTAAAATATGTGGCCAGATTTTTCATCGTGTAGGTAATCTTAGGCCAGATTTAATGTTTCAACTGCAAACTTTCATTATGGAACAAAGTTCATTTGCTCTTGCATTTAAAAACATGGCTGAAGTAGAAGATGAAGAAATTCGTAAGGCGGCTATAGAAGGTCGCTCAGCTTCTGTTGTAAAAATGTCTTTCCTTGAGGGCGGCGATAGACGTCGTTATTATCTACCTTCACATGATGAAAGTTGCAGTTGTATTTGTTGGCGAAGATGGTGCTCCCCCAACTTCCAGGGAAGTTGTTATTTACCCAAGAGGTCATCCTTTAAAAATTATGTCAGCCAACTTGGATCCTATGGTTTATCTGCTATTTTTCCCAAGAGGTGATGCTGGTTGGCATAATCAATTGGGGCATAACCCTGAGCGTGCCACACTGGTTAGAAATCATGTTACATTATCTCAGTTCTACAATTATAGACTTTCTGTTAGGCAATTTTTCTGTTCATTATTTTATGGCAAGAAACTATTTCAGCAATATGCTGTAGATGCATATGTAAAAATTGAAGGCCAGCGTCTTGCTTTTATCAGAAATAAGCAAAATAAGCTGAGAAGCGAGCAGTATGATGCCTTACATGAACATGTTAACAACATTGCCAATAATCGTAATATTAGACCAGGACGAGTATTAGTTTTGCCATCATCTTATGTAGGAAGTCCTTGAGCTTTAAAAGAAAACTTTGAAGTTGCTATGGCAATTATTAAAAAGTATGGTAAACCAGATCTTTTTATAACTTTTACTTGCAACCCAAAATGGCGTGAAATAACAGAAAATTTATATCCGGGTCAGAATGCGAATGATAGACCTGATTTGGTTACTCGAGTATTTAAACTCAAGTTAAATAACCTCCTCAATGATATATTCAAACATGGTGTATTAGGAAAAGTTGTAACGCTTGTTCAGGTTATTGAGTTTCAAAAGTGTGGTTTGCCGCATGCCCACATTTTACTTCATTTAGCAAATGATGATAAACTTAAAACATCACAGGATATCGATAATTTGATTTGTGCAGAAATTCCAGATCCGATAGTTAATTGTGAACTTTAAGATGTTATCAAAACTTGCATGATTCACGGCCCATGTGGGATACTGAATCCAAATTCTCCCTGCATGAAAGATGGGGTGTGCAGCAAAAATTATCCAAAAGATTTTAATGCCAACACAGTAGCTGTTCACAATACCGCGCTATAGGCGTCGTGATAATTGGTTGGTTATCAATATTAAAGGCAACAATGTAGATAACCGTTGGGTGGTACCTTATAATCCTTGGTTATCAAAGAAATATCAAGCCCACATTAATGTTGAAGCTTGCATGTCTGTAAAGGCTGTTAAATATTTGTACTAATACATATACAAAGGGCATGATTGTGCAAATGTTTTGATAAATGAACAGGTTAATCACGATGAAATAAATACTTTCTTTGATTGTCGTTATGTTAGTGCACCTGAGGCACTGTGGCGAATATTTGAGTATCCCACACACTATTATCCGTCTTAAGGTTCATCTTCCTGAGAATCAGATTGTGTATTTTAGAGAAGGAGAAGAACAAGTGGCGTTAGATCGTGCTGCTCAACGTGATACACACCTTACGGCCTGGTTTAAATTGAATTCTGAAAATGAAGGAGCCCATCACTACTCATATGTTGACATTCCATATCACTTTGTATTTGATGATAAACATTGTAAATGGAAGGTTAGACAAAGAGATGGAAATAAGGTGATAGTAAGAATGTATAAAGTTAGTCCAACAGGAGAATTATTTTTTCTTAGATTTTTACTTTTGCAAGCGAAAAGAGCAACATCTTGGGAGGATTTGCGTACTGTTAATGGAATAGTTCTTGAAACCTTTCGTGAAGCGTGTGTTTTTAATGGTTTGTTGCAAGATGACACTGAATGGCAGAATACTCTTTCTGAGGCAGTTTGCCTAAGCAAATCAGGCAATGCCTAAGCAAATCAGGCAGCTGTTTTCAATTATTTTAACCTTTTGTGAACCTGATGACCCTTTGCATCTTTGGAATTCATACAAAGCTTTTATGATGGAGGATTTCATTCATAGCCAAGTTCCATTTATATTTGCTGAACAAGCTACTCTTCTTCAAATCAAAAAGATTATTAATCAAAGTGGTAAAACGCTATCTGATTGTAATTTGCCTGTTGTTGATGAATTCATAGATTTTAATCTAGAAAATTTAAATGATAATGTTCAGCGATCAATTGACGAAGCTAATAGAATGAGACCGCTTCTTAATGTCAATCAATTAAATGTAAGTAATGCTGTCCTTGCTGCATTGAACGAGCAATCAAGTGTAGAAAATCAACATTCTAGATTGTTTTTTATGGATGGACCAGCCGGTAGTGGCAAAACTTTTACATGTAATTATTTGATCGCTGAAATGAGCAGTTGGGGTGTTAAATCTACTACAGCTGCATGGACTGACATAGCAGCAACTCTTCTTACAAATGGATCTACGCTGCACGGGTTATTTAAACTTCCTGTCCCAATACTGGATAACAGCTCATGTAATGTGACTCCTAACTCTATTCAGGGACAATTTTTAAGGCAAGTTAGTTTGTTTATGCTTGACGAGACATCCATGATTCCCAAACACGCTTTAAATGTAATCGATCGGTTGTTAAAAGATGTTTGCAACAACAACTTTCCATTTGGAGGAAAAGTCATTCTTTTTGGTGGTGACTTTAGGCAAATTTTGCCTGTTGTGAAAAGAGGGAGACCAGCTGAAGTTGTAGAACCATGTATAAAATGTTCTTTACAGTGGCAATGGGTGCAGAAGTTTACATTAACTGAAAATATGAGAGTACGTGATGGAGAAGGAGATTTTTCCGAATGGCTGTTAAAATTTGGTAGTGGAACAATACCTGTCAAGGAGGAAGATCCTTTTAAGGGATGTATTGAAATACCGCAACAGTGCATTATAAGAGAAAACGAATCAATTGTTGAAAAAATATTTGGAGATGCTCAACAAGATGATTATGCTAAACGTGTCATTTTAACACCCACTAATGTGGATTCATTGTCAATCAATGAAGAAGTGCTCGAACGTCTACATGGAGAGGTCAAAACTTATTTTAGTGCTGATCAAATAGACACTGACGATCCTAATGAAATAAATAATTTCCCTGTTGAGTTTTTGAACAGCTTAACTCCTTCAGGTATGCCTACTCATTGTTTAAAATTGAAAATTGGTTGTGTAATTATGCTACTTAGAAATTTAGATCTTAAAGCTGGGCTATGTAATGGAACCCGAATGAAAGTTTGTGCTCTCCAAAACAAACATATTGATGCAGAGGTTTTGACAGGTGTTTCTGAAGGTAAACGGGTATTTGTTCCTCGAATTCAGTTGACACCATCAGATTCTAATTTACCTTTTGTTCTAAAACGTCGTCAGTTTCCTGTCAGATTGGCTTATTCGATGACAATCAATAAAAGTCAAGGTCAAACATTTGATAGAGTTGGGGTATACAGACGTGTTCAAATTATTAGACTACAGATTTAAGAAAATTATTTTCCGTGATTGAGTTCAAATATCTATTACATTTTCACAAGTATCACAGTTAAAAGATTTTAAGTATAAAATATGACATTTTTCTTATGTTTTTACAAACTTTTTATATTTGGCAACGTCACTTTTTTTTTGTAAGAGCGTTTTCAATATTGGGAGGCAAGTCAGCGCATGTTTTTTTTCCTTTAGTAGCAAAACGTTGCAGCAGTGTCATTTTAAAGTAATTTTAATTACTTTTAATTCATTTTCTTTACAAAATTACTTTATGTATAAAAACTTAATTCGAATTTACTAATAAATTGTTTTTGTTTTGGATTTGTACAGTTAAACTGGTGAAATTATTTTATTTTAACAATAGACAAAAAAAATGATATTTCCCCCAAAAAATATTCGGCTGTAAAAACTTTGTTGGGTGAAAAGGTTTACACACAAACTCAAATAGCTTTAAAAGTTGGTGTAAGTCAGAAAACAGTAAAGCAGAATAAGAATGAGCACCACAGAATAGGGAATTGTGGTCGTTAAAGAAAAATAACCCCAAGAACACAAAGAAATCTGGTTAAAATGGCACTTAATAACAAAAGAGCCACATCTAAGGTGTTGTGTCAACAACTTAATGAAGCAGGAGTCGATGTTTCTCCAGTTACAAAAACAAAAAACAAAAGGTTACACCAGCGATGGCTAAAAAGAGGCTAGAATGGGCTAAAATTCATGAAAACATGTCTATCTATGACTGGAGTAAGGTAAAATGTTTGCAAAAATTGTATTCAAAGTCATTTTGAGAGTTTTCACTTAACATTTGATATCAAAATTTATTTTTAATATGAAGATGAGTTCGAAAAAAATTTAGGCAATTTTTTTTTCAAAAGAATCTCTTAAATTTAATCTGTAATTTTTTGCAAAGTGTTTCTGTTTACTCATTTGTATATTTATTATATCCAGGTATGTTTTAGCGATGAATCCATCTTTTTGGTGGTGGAAGAACAGAGCCAATATGTTCGAAGAAGACCAGGAGAAGAGTTCAAGGCAGAGTGTTAGCCAGAGTGTCAAGCATCCAACGTCTGTTATGGTGTGGAGTGTCATGTCAATACACGGACCGGGAATGTTGTACATCGTAGAAGGCACCATGAATCATGTACAATATATAAAAGTGCTACAAAATAGGTTAATGCCCCAAATTAAGACATGGTTTCCAGAGGGAGATGTAATTTTTATGCACGATGGGGCTCCGTGTCATAAAGCCAAAAAAGTGACAGAATTTCTTCAGCAGAGCAGAATCAAGACATTGCCGTGGCCAGGAAATAGTCCCGACATGAACCCCATTGAAAATTTGTGGGCTGTTGTAAAGAATAAGATCAAGAAAGAAACAATTACCACCAAAGTGCAACTCATCGAAAAACTGATACAAATATGGCATCAAGACCAAGACATCAAAAACATTTGTAAAACTCTGGTAGAAAGCATGTCGAGCCACATTAATATGCTTATTAAAGCCAAGGGGCTCCATACCAAGTATTAATTAGGGTTTGTTTTTATATTTACGAACGTTATATCTGTCATATTTTTTTAAAATAAAAAAAAAACGAGAAAAAAATTTTAGTCTTATAATTTGAACACGTCTGTATCTTAAAAAACCGTGTTTTTCCCATGGCACCATGGCACCATTTTGTGCCAGGCGGTGTTACTGCTTTAGAGCTAGGTTGTGTTGTCAAGCTTTTTTTAATTATTCTGGAAACACATAATGTCTGGTAATGTTTTGTGTAATGTGTATAAAAGAGTATGCAACCTTGATCCTTAAATTTAAAAATAATTGAATAACTTATATTGAATATAAAAGCAAATATACTATATTAAAGTTAAGTAAAAGGATAAATATAGAAAACTCAAAATTGGTTTTTTCGTTTTGCCTTTCATTTTCTTTAAAAATTGGTTTGTTATTTTCCACTGGATTTTAGAGTCAAGGGTGTAAATATTAGTTATAAAGGTGTGAATATGTGTTAATGTTATAATGTTGTAATGTATTGTTATAATGTATAATATTGTTATATTGTTGTGATGTTTTGTGTTGATAGACAGCTTGGCTTACCTTCCCGTTGGTGTCTATCGTTAAAAATGAATAAAGATAGTTTCATTATTGGAACTTGCTGCTTTTATTCATAAACTAAAAGCCTAGACAAAATCTTGCTAAAAATTCAATTTATGTCTTTATTTGATTTTTTTTTTCTTTAGTATTGTTAACCCTTTAGTACTTCGAAAAAGATTTCATTGCTACTTTTTTCTATAAATGTTTATATTAACTGCAATATCAAAAGGTTACATAAACAGGTAAATCAGTTTTCAGTGTTTATATGTGGTGTATATATATATATATATATATATATATATATATATATATATATATATATATATATATATATATATATATATGATGTTATAATTCCGTTACTTTTTTTTTATTTTAGATTTTACCATATGACGTAATAATACATTGATGAAAAAAAAACTTGATTTCCTAAATTTGTTAAATTTTGTTCGTTTGTTAAAAAAATATAAAGACATATATATATATTTTTTTTCACTATCTTATGCTTTAATAATTCGTTGTTAAAAACACAGGGAGACTTGCAGTTTGTCAAATATTAAGTTGATTAGTTTAGTCTGCAATTGCAACACTTTTGAGGAGAGAAAAATTTCTTATATATGTAATTTTATCTTATATATGTTTTACGCTTATCTTATATATCTTCTGATCTATATATCTTATATATAATCTTATATATGTTTTACGCTTTATTATTTTGGTTAAAGGTCTTCATCATAATAAATGATTACTCTTAATAAAAAAAACTCTACTCACATGTCTACCATTAAAACAAAAAAAGGGGAGGGGCTCTTAATTAGCGGAGACATCAAAATATTGACGAAACCGAAACTTCGAGGAATAAAAGGAATATTTAGTAAATGGCAGCAAATTACTTTACCGTTTGCAAAAAATTATTGAAATAAAGAGGCCATCTATTCAATATAGAAATAATCAGAGTTTAGAAGGCTAAACATGACCGGGTCCGGTTAGCTTTGTTTGCAAACATGAGATTATGTCACGTTAACAACCTCAAAAGTCAATTTTAAACATGTTCAGTAGCAAAATGGGATATATACAAGTATAAATGTGATAGTATAGTAATACTCTTTCATGATTTTTCAGCGAATAAAATGGATTTTAGACTAGATTGATTTTTGTTTCCTGTTAAACCGCAGTAAATAAAAATTAGAAGGCTATTTGGCCCCGACAGAATATGCGACAAGTTTGTATAAAACTCATTGACACAAAAATGGAATTAAGACAAGTTAGCTCCTAAAATTATCTTTATATACAGATATGTTTATTGCACATATTAGTAAATAAACTGACTAGTTGCGCAATGAGTTTAAATTTTAGCCCTTTTTTAAAGTTGATAATCATAACGAACTTAATTAAATATGCGTGATGTAATTTGCATAGCTTAATTAAATGCTCTTTAACTTTAGTCTTTGCGCTAAGTGTTGCGCAGTTTTTCTCCTGTTCTGGAATTTTGAGATTGGAATTTCCAGACTTATTTTAAAAAGCGGGTTTTCGTCATAAATTTTCTTCACATCTAATCATACCAATCAATTAGGTCATATTTAGTATAATCAATTCAATCCTTTTCATTTTTTATGTTTTAACATGTCCATTACCTTTATTAAATTTGTTTTTAAGCATATTTGTTTTTATTTTTTATATCGAATTAATAGAATGAATCAGATTGAAGATGAAGGTTTGTATTTATTTAGATGTGTAATATGTTACAGATGTATAATGTTATGTTGTTAGTTCTTAAATATATGTTTATTTTCAGTTGCTGAATTACTAAGAAGTAAGTTTTCTTTCATTTAGTTATAAACAAATGTAATAAATTGCATTTATATGTTTGTTAATTTTAATTAACTTCACAATATCAAAATGGTTTAGACGAACTTAAACGAACTTTTGTAAATGAATTTAATCCTTAAAGATTACATATTTTTATTATTGAAGAAATTAAACCAGATTTAAGAATGAGTCGACTTAAATGTTTAGTTGTTTTTCTATTCAGATAATGACAATATTGAAGCAAGAAAGTTAAAAAGCATTTTTAAATTTTTAAAAAGAAATAAAAATACTTTTCAATATATATCTGTTTTCTTTGAGGAAGATTTAAAGTTTCAGGTTTTAAAAAATCATATATATTATAAGATTTAAAAATGAGTCCACTTGAATGTTTGTTTGTTTTTCTATTTAGACGTTGGTGATAATATTGGAACAAGTAAGTTATAAAGCATTTTTAAATTTTCAAAAAGAAATCAAAATACTTTTTAATATATATCTGTTTTGTTCGAGGTAGATTTAAAATTTCAGGTTTTTAAAATCATATATATTATAATATTAAATTCTTTTTAACTTTAAAAATATCCATATTATAGTTACACTGAGTCGTAGAAAAAAAATTAAAGTTTATTAATAAGGTAGTAGATTATTAGAGTATATTAAATTGTTTGATCTATTATTCAACTTAATAACGTACTATTAAAGTAAAGATTTATTTTGGTTGTTTGTGAAAATTTAGTTAGAGTTTATTTAAAATTTAAATAAACTCTAACTAAATTTTAACAAACCTTAATACCTTTATTAGATCTCAAGAGAGATCTAATAAAGGTATTAATTACATAAGTTGAATGTAGCATTTAATATGTATTTTATCGATATTTTAACGTCTAAACATTAAAGTGCTTTTATTGTTTAGATACAGAAGTGAAGAAGGAAATAAGTCAGTGTTTTTGCTATTAGATATTTGTTTATTTGTACTGCCGCTGGAATTTTAAAAAATCAAGTTCTTTAGCTTTTTTTTATACATTCTTTTAGGGGAGTTGGAACAAAAACTTAGTATAAATTATGATTAGTTTAGTTTAATAAATAAAGCATTACTATTTAGAAGAAATAAAGTTAACTTTAGTTTATAGTTTTGTTTTTAGCTTTTGTTATTTTTTTCTGACTTTTGACAACTTTATGGATGAAATGAGGGGGATGGGTAAAACAATTATTTAGATATGTATATATTTATATGTTAACATTTTTTTATCGATTATTATATATTTATTAAAGTATATATTTGTCTTTAGTGTCTGGTGGAAGTATAGCTGGTAGGATTGTGTTTTTTTATTTTTTATATTTTGTATGGAGAAATATGTGCAATAGGTGAAAAAATAAATTAATAAAGATGACACTTTTGAACTGGTTGCATTATTACCCTATATACTTATTAAAATACAAAATATTGCATGTTTAACCCTTATTAATTTGCTCTCTTTTTTTTTTTTTTTTTAAGCATCTTCTGTTTCGAATGAAAATGGTGAGGTTATGCTTATTATTATTTTTTTTAATAATTGCAAATGTATAATTTTTATATTCTATTTGTATAATATATTCTTTAGATTCCTTATCATTCAAACATTACCAAAATTATCGTTTCCAACACCTGGGACCTCCTTCAATAAATGGAAACATAATGGCGGTATGGATGAGCCCTCCTTTAAATGGAGGGCTCTTCCATACCGGGGTGTTGGGAGACACCGAAGAAAAAACAGCAACCAAAAGGTTGTAAATGTCTTCTTTCAGTAGAGATATTTATGACTTTTTAGTTGCTGCTTTTTTTTCGGTTTTTTTTTTTTTAATTTTGAAATTCTTTGTTTCGGTGTTTTTTTTATTATAATTTTGTAATTTTTTTTTAAATATATATTACGTTGTATATTTGATTTGTTTTAATCTTTTTTAATAAAATTTTTAATTGTTTTCTTACCAATTAAACCTGACTTCAAATTTAAACCCCTTTTAAATACCCCTCCCTAAATTCTAAAGTTGAATTGATTTATTATCCAATTATCATAATATAATGATGCTGCATTCTTTTGTTAAAAACAATTATTTGGTACTGCTTTTAAAATTTACCAAAACCCAAGGCAATATATTTAGCAATACAAATGCAATTCATTTATCTTGATTCCATTCTTTATGTTTTGCTCTTTTTATTATGAATATTTAAAATCTGTTGTGATGTCTTTTAAATTAAACTAAAGTTTACTAATAGCCAACATAAAAATTACGTTTTTGAACAACACCAAAAAGAACAGCTGCATCCCTACAGCAACTGCTGCAGTATCACAATAGGTTACCAAAAGCAGGTATACTGTTTTCCAGTTGTTGTTGTTTTTATATATATCTACTTATTTATATTATACTATAGTGCGATTGTTTATTAATTTTTTTTTTCTTTATCTTTAAGTGTTAATAATTTTATTCTTTGAATGATATTAGTTAAACAAGTCGGCTTTTCATTAAAGATATTGGTTTCAAAATTGAACATCATTGGCAAAATGCTTACAAAATGAGGTTTTTTTTTAAAATCTGTTTTCTATTTAATACACTTTTTTTTAAATATACTCTTTTGATATTCTATAACAATTTTACAAATATGGAATCACGTAGCTTTTTAAATGTTTAATTGTCGTCCCTATTGGTAATAAATATTTTGAATTATTTGATATGGTTTTCTTTACAATAGGCTATGCTTGGCTCCTCGGTGCTGTAAATGGTGGCTTCAACTTTGTTTTTTTTAAGAAAAATGTGTTTTTTATATGCTTCTGTTTTAAAATATTTTTGTTACATATTTAACAAGATATTATGTAAATAAATTTCTTTTAAAGATATGTAAACTTGATACTTGCTATTTTACGGATTTTCAAAAAGTGTACAGGTTTAAATATATTTTTTAACTATCTTTTATGATTTTATCAAATTTATTAAAGCTGAATAATTACTTCAAAAATATTGAGTAAAATCCAATTGCTTTTATTATTAACCTGATCTATACCAAAATTAATGAAATAAAACTAATAATCTAACGCCAAGTTAAGGCAAAATGTATTTTAAAAAATTAGTATAAATATGGATTGGATGTATGCTGAAATAAATATGTTGATACACGTTAGCTATTATAGTAAATCCATATATTCCTTTGTTTTTTTTTAAACAAGTTTCTGCTGGATTACTAATTAAAAAAAAGGTTGGTTTAAATAATAATCTTTATCATAATATATTGGATCCGTATGCAGGGTAAGCCCTTTTCGGAATTGCGATATATTTTTCAACTTATAGTTTTTCCGGATTTCCAACTTCTATGCCTACAAGTTTGGGTGTAATATTTTAGATGTTTAAAAATATTAAAAAAATATATTAATTACATATACAAACAAAGGTTTAGGTGCGATAGTGACATATTTTTAAGCTCTTCACTCAGTAAAATGAAAAGTTTAAAAAATAAAGAAACGACTCAGCTTAAAGCAAAATTTAGAGGAGAACTAAAAAAATGTATAAATAAATTTATATTTCATTAGAGAAAGTAAATAAAGATCAAATTGTTAGTTATGATTTATTTACTACTAACCCGTATTACGGGTTGCTTACAGCTAGTAAAATATGATTTGTTATAAACTAAACAATTGAAAATTGCAAGGTACGAATATAAGGAAGGTTACAAAGTACATCCTTACTAAATTTGAATATAATATATCCTTTAAACTTAGATACCAGATTTTTTTACATATAATATACAACCAGGTAAACTATAAAATACTTTGAAAAAGAATAAATCCACTCATCCGTGTTATCTATAGGAAAAGAAAAGGAATCGAAAAAAAACAGTAACTTGCAGAGGACGGATAGGATTTATTCATTTCCATTTGTACGTATCACTTTAACTTTTGTTTTAAAATAATCAAAGTTAAATAATAAGAATGGCGGCGTTATCGATTCTTAGCAGGAAATTTTATACCTGTTATTACTATATGAATTATAAATCAAATAATGTCAAAAGTATAAGAAAAGTATTTCAGAATATGAAACATTAAATGCTGAGATTGGAATGGTTTCAATAGTAACAGATGTTTTTAACCTACTCTATTTTTTTAATTGTGATATAAATAGAATCGTCTACTGAACATTCTTTTCATTGTTTCGAAAATTTTTTTTTTGTCATTCATTTATTTGTTTTATATTTCAAGTTCTTCTAAAAGAAATCTTATTGAACATGCTGAACTGGGTTATTTCCGTTTTGGTAATTAATGTTTTTATCATCATAATTGACTCTTTAATAACATTTTTAAACATTGTAATGGATAATACGTGTAACCGATTTAAGCAATTTCTTTTAAACTTTGGAATTGTTGATAATGCTGAGACGTAGATTATTCTCGGGCAAATTTTAAAATGAACTTTCTGTATCATCTCAATTTTCAAGTTTGTTTACAATTAATCCGAAGATTCCGTTTACAATTAATCCGAAGAATCCGTTTACAATTGAACCCGTCATTTCAAAAAGGGCACAAGTCACACTTTTTTCGAATTTCACTTTTTAATGCAATTTTATTTATTCAAGTGTTTTACAAATTCCCTTTGAAAGAGAATCATTTTCATATGCCACAAGTCAACTTAAAATGCAAATGAAAATTAAAGTCTGTTTGAAAATGGCACAAGTCCCGGACTTATGTCTTTTTCAAGTGAAACGAAGCGCAACTGTAGTGACGTAATCTCAATTTATTTGTAACAAAAGTGGAAAATCGCGAGCTTCCTGAAAATGCATATAAATCTAGAAAAAGAGTGTTTGGTATAAGAAACAGTGAAAGTATTAACACGAAAAAATAAAAAAAGCCAAAATTGCTGGAGAAGCTTATAAAAACCATAAAGGAAATGATGTGGCACCAAGGCAAACAGGTGCTTCTAGCAGGTTAGTTTTTTGTTCTATAATATAGAATGACTATATTCGTTCTCAAATTTTTACTTATTTACTCATGTTTTACCACCAATATTTGGAGGTAAAACATCTTGATATATAATTATTATAATATAAACTCAATAGTTCTATTTATTTACAGATGTAATTCGAAGTGTATGGAGCTTGTATCTGAAGCTTCAGATACAAGTTCCATACACTTCGAATTACATCTGTAAATAAATAGAACTATAAAACTGAGATAACATCTTCGAAGATGTTATAGAAAGTACAATTCAGTTTGTTAACAGATTTGATAGTAAAAATGCCCAAGACACATACTTG